GCGCCTACAAACCTAACAGGGATACTTCACGCATTGCGCAATGCGTGAAGTATCCCTGTTAGGTTTGTAGGCGCCAGTAGAGTCCCTTTATACTGAGAGTCAAGACAATGTGAATCCATTTCTGATTGGTTCCCGTATTGAAGACCTTCACAGTGTTACAAACGGGAATAAAGATTACATTTTTATCAATTGCAAAGATTATAAACTGGATAAACTTTAAAACTGGAATGGACCGCGGAATGGAGATGTTAATTGCATGTGTGAGGAATTTGCGATAAATTTGACTTGGGCTCTAGTGTAAAAGTTCGCGAGAAACATGATGACCCCACTGATTTTCTCTGAAATCAACGCCCAAGCTCAAAAAACGCTCTCAAAGTTGAGGCTGTAATGGAGGGGATATCCCACGCTATCCTGAGAGTCCACGTCTACATCAAGACTAACTATTCATGCAAGGATAGGGGAGCAAATACATTAGCAGAGTTGCCGTGTTTTCAGTTTTGGAGTCCCCAAATAAAGTGGCAGCCTTGTCAATGTATTTGCTCCCTATCTTTGCGAGGAGGGTTCGTCTTAATGCATGTAGAGGTGGACTCTCAGAATAGCGTGGGATATCCCCTCCAATACGCCATCAACTTTGAGAGCTTTTTTTGAGCTTGGGGGTTGATTTCAGGGAAAACCAGTGGCTTTATCGTGTTTCTCGCGAACTTTTACATAAGAATCAATAGTCAAATCGGAAATTCCTCACACATGCAATATCTCCATTGGGAGCGAATATCAAAGATTACAAAAATAGTCCAATTTGTGTCATCTTTATTCCCGTTTGTGACATCCATTAGCCGCATTATCTCAACTCTCTATAAATGGGCTCTAGACTTGGAAGACAAGGCACATAATCGCAGTTTTTGAAAAAAAATGAGATATCAATGATTTCAAGTAAAAGTAAAACTAGTCTTAATGCATGCTCTGTGAAAAATTCGCTCCCGAATTCCAATGTTAAAGCAACGAAAAGTCAGTTTGAACTTCCTTTCTGCCACCAGACTCCACGTATTTTCGAAACTTCAAACGCGTATTTCTCGAATTAGCAAAAACTGCACTCATGCGCCTTGTCCTCCAATAAGCCCCGAAGTTCAGAGTGGTGTAGGTGATAGGATACAATTTCTGGCGTGGTCGAACTGGCGTGCGATATATCACATCGATTATGTCAAAAATCTGGGCAGCTTTTGAATTTTTAGCCAAAAAAAGGGGGAAAGCCTTGGCGTACCTATGGGTCTTAAAAAATCATTCGAAACAAAAAAAAAATAGCAAAATTCAAAGAAATGAGCGCGGAATTCTGTCTGGAAAAAATCTCGCATTCGATACAGAAATCGATTCAGCATCGTGAACATGGCGCTTATCGACGGTGAAACTACCAAACCACGTATCTCGGTTTGCGACGTCGCAGACTTCCTGTCATACTTTATTTTTTAAATGAAAAACTACTTAATGTCTAGTCTTGAAAATTTCTGTGATTTTTCCTCTTTGTGCGGAGAAAATTCTGTGAAAATTTCAAGGAATGATATTGATTTGGTCGACTTCAAAAAAATAAAATGCGAGCGTAGATTTTTAAACACCGCAAACGAGATACGTGGTTTGGTAGTTTCACGGTCGTTATTCACTTTTTCGCGGCGCACCCGTCAGCGCGGTCCGCCAAGTTCCGAAGCGTTCCAAAGTTCCAAGTTTCGAAGTTCCTCAATTTTTGAGCAAACGTATCATATTTAGACTGCATTTTGCAAGTTGGAGCTATAAATTCTGGCTCATCTGAAAAACACGTATGTGCTAGAGAAAAAAATGGCACATACGTTGTTTTTAAACCGGGCCGGAATTTATAGTTCTTAATTGCAAAATGTAGTCCATTTATAAACCATTTTCTTCCTTACGCCAGCTATTCGAAAAATGAACTAAATCCGGATTTTTCTCTCATGCGTACCTAGCCGCTAGTTTCAAAAAACCGCAAAAAAGGCCTTTTTAGGCCATTTAGTAAAAATGGCGGCAGATGCACACCAGATACGTGTAAGGAAACTTCAGATTCGGATTCAGCAACCCAAAAAGCATAAAATATGCCATAAAATAGCTGTGTACTCGAAATTCCAGGTAGCTTCATTTTTAGATACCAAACGTCTGGACTATAAGTAGCAAAATATTCTGTATGAATTTCAATAAAGTCGGCTTGTTTCTCTTAATTAGAGGTGGAAATGAAACTCCGCGATAGAGGTACGTGATTGAGAACTTTGGCTATCAATTTTGGTATGCTCATTTACGCCCTTGCTGCCAGCTAATAATGTAGGATTATAGGGGCGTATTTATGCTAAAAGGAACTATGTGCATAGGGTTTGCGCGAGACATAGTTCCTTTTGGCATAAATACGTTCATAGGTAGTCTGCACGGGCTGCATACGAGATAAATTGATGATTCGATGGTGGAACTTCCAAATCACGTATACCTCGGTTGCAGACTTCCTGCTATACTTCATTGAAGAATACCAAATATGAATGGTGAACTCCTCAACGTCAATTTCAAAAACCTTCCATGATTTTTCTTCTCCTGTGCGCAGCAAATTCTGAGCAAAGGTCAAGGATGATATCGATTTGTTCTCTTTCAATAAAAAGAAACAAGAGCGCGGAGATTTTTAAACAGCGCAAACGAGATACGTGCTTTGGGAGTTTCAACGTCGAAATACAATACAACTGAGATAGAATGCAGATTCTGTTTTGACAACTACGAGAACATCGATAAGCGACTTGTCAATGAAGTCAAATACTTTATATATTGATGAAAAAGAAGGAAAAGTATACCGAAACACGCATATTGTTAAATAAGTTTATTGGCTTGTTTTGTTTTAACTGCTTGCTGAAGATGGGCTAAGCCCGAAATGCATCCAAGCCAATAAACTTATTCAACAATATGCGTGTTTCGGTATACTTTTTCATCTTTATCATAACAGCATGCGAGATGCGTTTTTCCAGTGATCAAATACTTTGTTTAGTTTTCCTTCTTTTTTGAATTGACAAAAGCGTTTTGTCGGTAGTTTTCAGATTAAAAAAGGGGGAAAAATCTAAGAAGCACGCAATCTTTGGTTTTAGATCTTTCGTAGTCAAATACGTTCAATTTTGAGCGTTTGGTTGCGCGCATATCACGCTGCAACACAGTAGAGCACAAAATATCAACGAAAAAATGAAAGAGCTTTGGAAAAATTGACACATTAAATTGACATTAAATTTGACACGGAAGTACCATAATATTTACAGAACATACAGTACATTTTCCTTTAAAACATTTTTCTTTTTTCCATTAATGTAAATGAGAATAATCTAAGCGGAGCAGCGAACATTTCAAAATAATGAGTTGAAAAGCGCCGACTCCGGGAGTTTAAATATTAGAGCCAAACACAGAAAGCGGCGCGGCGTGCTGCCAGCGCAACATGCGCCCTGGCGCCTACAAACCTAACAGGGATACTTCACGCATTGCGCAATGCGTGAAGTATCCCTGTTAGGTTTGTAGGCGCCAATGCGCGAGATAATGATGGAAGATTCACGGAAGGATTTTGAAGTTAGATGGATCTGAAGTAGGTAAAACATTTTATAGTTTAGTGGACAAAAGTTAACTTCCGTGTTGTGTTTACATTGATTTTTCAGTCGTTGGGTAAAATGAACCCTAAGCTGAATGTGATGTCTGAAGGTGCTGTGGAGAATATGAGACAATGGGCAAAACTTGCAGCAGTCAGTAACACCACCAAAAGTGAGAAAATAGATCCACCCGGTTGAGACTTACACCTATGCAAATTCTGCACAATGCTACCTGGATCTAATGTTTAAAGCAATTTTTATACCATTGTGAATGATACATTCCCAAGTTTTTCCTTACTGTAGATTCAAATGTTATTTTTAAATTAGTGTACATAACAAATAAACGATGATTTAATTTTTACAAATGCATGGGTTTGATTCTCTATCAGTGATGCCGTTGAGAAGAATGATTAGTAAAATTCAGTGTCATGGCGAGGGGTTGAGCAATACTGCCGTGCTAAGGAAGAACGCTGTATGAGCCTCCAGGCGTTGCCATATTTCCTTTGATAAGGCACAAATTTCCCGGAAAACTTATGAATATTTACTTCTTATTTTTCAGATAATTTTGTTCGCAATTTCACCTGAAATTTTCAATGAAAAATATTCATAAATTTTCTCAAAAATGAACATTTTAGTGAAGGAAATTTGGCAACTCTCGAATGTTCATGCGGCGTTTTTCCTTAGCACGGCAGAATAGGAGCAATGAAACAAGGCCCCGAATTCTGCCGTTCTAAGTAAAAACGCCGTATGAGCATTCCAATGACGCCTATCATTTCCTTTCACATGTTTTTCTTTTTCTTTCTTTTCTCCTTTTTTTAAAGAAAGTCATGAATAATTTTTCTTTGAAATTGTTCGATACTTTAGGTCATATATTACATAAAAAGTTCTCTGAAAAATCGGGAGAAAAATACTTACAATTTGTCCCGAAAATCCGTGATTTACCTACTGTCAAAGGAAATTTGGCAACATTTCCTTGACACAAAAGGCGCCAAAATAAAAAAGAAAGGGAGGAGGAAAGGAAGAAAGAGAAAAGGAAATGATAGAGAAAAGAAGAAAGAGGGAGGAGAAAATAAGAGAAGAAAAAAACTACAGGGACAAGAGAAAAAAGGGGAGGGGGCTGGAAAAATGGGGACAGGGATTAAATGGCATTCATATGGGAAGCAGGCCAACAAGCGCACCCGCTTCTTTCGATAGAAAATCGCCCTTTGTAGCGTAGTTTTAAAACGAAACACCGCCTCTAGGTGGCGCATTTTTCTCGATTTTTGATGAGAAGAAAAGGTTCGATATAACTGACTGATCCTGCATGGGTGAGAAAAATAAAAATCAATACTTGAATAACATATTAACAAAATAAATTTATTTTCGTTCAACTTGGGCGGAAAATTTGCAAAAAGAGGAAAGTACTGATAACAAAATACAATTAGAAAAAGGAGAAAAAGAAGAAAACAACTTAACAGCTGGAATGGTAAAAAAATAGCTTCATCTTAACATTAAAATCAAATAATGCAAGTTTAATGCTTGATGCGGTACATTATAGTGATAAATGGTATCGGCAAGTGGCTTCATGGCTAACTGAACTTGATATTTCAGAGACAAAATTCAAAGCAGAGAAAGTACTTAAGTGAACAGCTTAAAAATTAATGTTTAAATATTCGATAGGACAAACTAAGGAAGGCGGTGGAGCTTGGGGGCTATCCCATACCCCAACAAAGTATTTCATATTGGTGATAAAATAGTTACAAATAAAAACATGAAGCCAAAGCGAAAATATTTAAAATTTGTATTATTTCACCGATCCTTCAAAACCAACCATAATATTTCATGAGTTGAAAATTATAGTAAAAACAGGAGAAGAGCAGAAACTTGTTTTTCTGAGAGTTTTAAATAACTTTAAACTTTTCTCAAATACCAAAAGGTAACATAGTTTAGGTGATTGTTAAGTTTTAAAGTTAAAGTTGAACTCTTCAATTCATTGTCAGTATTATTACACGAGTGAGAGAAATGCTTTCAATAGGCTGGGAAAATTTAACAGGAAAACAATTGAGATACCGTAATTACACAGGGTTCATCTCTGACTTTCCACATTTTTGAGGATGCATTCACTTTACTGGCAAAAAAGCTGAAATTGTTAAAATGCAGATCCTTTTTGTTCCTATAAAAAGTACTGCATGTGAAATTAATAATAGTAAAAAACATTAATACAGTCAAGAAGGCCTATTTCATTCATTTCTGAAGCTGAGAGCGTCTCCCACATTGCTTCTAAACCGGTCTCATTGAAGAACTCACAAAAAAGCAGGACCACAATTGATTGATTTTGGGAAAATACATTGTTAGTAAATTATCTGATGGCAGTTCTAAAAATAAAGACAAACTTATTTCTTCCCATCATATAATCATACCTCAAACACTACAATGATTCAATGATATACCCTCATTTCATAACCAACCAAAAAATAATAAAAAGTGGCGACCAGCCATATGAGACGCAGCAAATATTTAGAAATTTTTGGAGAAGATAAAAAGAAAGATCGTATATGTCACATGCAAAGGAAGTACACAGCCCAGCTCACAAAATTCAAGTGCGAAATAGAACTTTAAAGTTAAAAAAAGAAATTGATTGGAGGTAGAGAAACTCGATTAAGCAAATGATACATTACTAATGGTAATAATAAGCCGGTTGCACGATTACACACTACAAAATGGAAACAAACTTAAGCTTAAGTAGAATTTAGCGCAAATAATTGTCAAAAAATAAAACTTTTGGCTCCTCTCGATCCTTTTTCATACTGAAGTTGATTCTATTTGGACATAATTTTATGGTGCAAAAATAGAAATGAATAAAAAATTTGAAGACATATCTTTCAGAGACTGACTGCTACTTTTCAGAGTTATTCTCTAAAAACCGGGTGAAAGTATATCACTTGGGTAACTAACATTTTTCAAACAGAAATAAGCCAACAGCTTTGAGCTTCTAAAAAGTTCACCTTCCTTGAGCATGGAGATTTTTTTTCCAGGAAAACTACTTAAAGGTCATTGTGTTACATTCTGCATGATAAATAACTCTGAAAATGTGAAAATAGTTGAGAGAGAGTGAAAGAGGAAAATGGAACAACAAATACCTACTTCATAAATGCAAAATAGTTATTTGCTGTCCTTAAATTCCTGAGGAAATGGATGTCAGGAAATGTACATCTTTTAACATTATTCATGTATCACAAGCCATTTTTCTTGTACTTGCTCCAGATGCTTATTCACAATCGGGTTGCGTATGCGAATTTTAACTTCTAATTTACCGCCAACAGTTTTCCGTCCATTCATTAACTGCAACAAATAAGAAATTAAATTAAAAAATTGAGACAAAGTAAACAGAAAATAAACACATTAGATAATCAAATTACCAGTCTTCCTAAAATTCTATTTTTGATGTTTGCCGTACACTTGAAAAAAAATTTTATACTAATTATGATATGAAGCCTATCAAAGTTAGGGAAGGTTTCCACAAGGAGGCCTGCCGCAGCAAATTTAGCACAGTCATTCACATTATTCTTGGCTCATCTTTTTTGCCAATTGAGGCTGCCCCTGTGTAGACTACAGTTAGAACTTTCAGCACTCTCATGCTGAGATGCAAAGACTTCACCTTGCAATTAGCAGGTTTCACGGAAAAATGGTAATCCTGTGAAAAGCAGTTTTTATAACAGAAAGATTGATGTGAAGAAGTAAAACTTCAGGTGAGGAGGAAAATTTGAAATACTTACATCATATGCTTCATGAAGAGTGCATTTATCTTCCAATGGTTGAAGTTTGACCATAGCTGTTCCAATGAGTGTGTCCGTTCCAGCGAGCCCAAAAAGAAAACTCCTGCAACATGAAAACCACTCACAGCTGCTGGAAATTAATAACATAGCAAAACTACTACAAAAAAAAATAAAATAAAAATAATACGAAGAAAGAAAAAAAAGGAAACATTACTGAAAATGCAAATCTGACAGAAATTAATCATACAGAACATAGACCTGATAATTTACTATGACTTTCATACCGAAAATAATCGATAAGAAGATAACTAAATGCAGTGACTGGTTATACAATAATGTTAATTTATTTTGTCAAGACGGCTTAACTCTTTTTAGGTTATTTTTCTCGGATTTTTCCAACTGCGCTTTGACGCAAAAAAAAACCAGGTAGGAAGATGGAGAGGACAGGACAGGAAAGACATTCATCATGCTAAAGAGAAGGGAAAACATATTGGAGGTGGTGACATTCAATTCTTTGGGTTCCAAAAACTTAAAAAGATGGTTTCAGTGACTGAACTTCTTACTTAATTAGAATGGAACTACATGCTTGCACACAAACTACATTTTCCATGCTTTTTAAACTGATCACAAACAGAAAGACACTCACCCTCGAGAATAAACTTCACATTTAAGGGCATGCCTTTTGAAAACTCGCTGGCAAGCACGGACATTCCTCTGAATAGGAAATGTAAACACAGCATCATACTTAGGACTATTGGTATCGTAAATCACAGCAGTTTTTTTCCTTACTGGTTCTTCCTGCAGACGAAAAATTGAGCAAACAAAGACTAAATACAATAATGAAAATCAGTGGATCATAAATGTAGGTTGGTGGTAAACCACAGCAAGCTTATGTAATCAAGATTTATACATAACGAGTACATGAGTCAGGTTAAGATGTAAAAAATTGCTCTCATCAACGATACTCAGGGATTCTGAGTACCCAAGGTTTCTTCCACCCAAAAATGTTTCCGCAGGAAATAATATTTTTCTGTTAATTCAAGGAAAAACTTAATGTACTGAGCACCGTTTACAACAAATAAAAATTCTAGCCGATTTGGTAAGGGCCAGCTTTGTGATTCAAGAAGTATTTTTAGCATTGACACCTGCTTACAATGTGGCATGATTGCGTTACAAAATCCGTTAAAACATTCGAAAAACTTCTGCATCTTTTTCTGGTGAGTTACTAAGGGGAAGGGAGCGCTGATAACAATTTTGAAAAAATCATGTTAGCTACCCTGTCTAAGTTGGCTAGTCCCTGTAGAATTAAAATAATCCAAAAATAAATTACATATATATATTTTTTTTATTTTTTTTTAAAAAAAAATGGTTAGTTTCAAACAAGAAGAAAAGAGTCTCAGCACTTACTGTTGGCCATGGAAATTCTAACTTCACATAAGTATCTACATCTTTAGGTTTTGCTACATTAAAATTAGTTCCTTGAACAATAGTTACTTCTAAATCATTATCCATTAGATCAGTATTACACCTAGAAACAGATTAAATAAATGGTTTCAATGAATAAATCTTTAATTATTTATTTAGGTTTGAGGCGCTGGAGAGTGAGATAGAAGATTGCTGTCTTTCAGTCAAGCACGTAAAAAAGAAAGTATCTCAAACGAGAAAACCTTTTTAAAATTATTCACAAAACAACATGCATAAGTTCCAGCGAATTGAACCTGAAGAATATCTCACTTTGTTCATTTAAAAGTATTGTGGAATTGAGGCACTGGATGCGAAAAGAGTACTTCTTGGTTGCAGTGTTTTAGGGTCTCCTCTAATATTTCATTCATTGTAAGGAAAGTGAATACATTCATTCCACTAAGAATTTTATTGGATATTCCTCATGATTTTACAATTTTCTACAAAGAGAATTCTGGAAAAATCACCCATTGAATTCTTCTCCGAGGGATTAATGAGCAACAGAGATTCTAAAACACTGCAATCGAGAAGTGCCTTTTTCGCATCCAGTGCCTCCATTGATAACTGTAAATAACTTGTATTTGCTAATTAGCAACAGGTTAGTGGAATATTGCAACACTTTTCTATGGAGAAATCAAAGCCAGAAAATTCAAACAATAGAATTAGAGTTATGAAATAAACTCTGAAGAATTTCATTACAAGAATGAGAGGGGAGAATGTTCAGCTCAGGCAGAAGCATTGAATACTAAGCTGGGGTAATGCCGAGAGATCTAATGCAGTTTAGGTCTTTTTTTATTTCATCAGCAGATAACAATCAGCTAGTGAGCTCAGCTTAGCATCCCACAAAATCCTGGATGGCATGGAAACACCGTCATGGACATGATGTGACGCATGACACAATAGTGCAATCCTTGCGCCAACTGCTGATAGTACTAAACAACTCTGGGGAGGAAACAAGAAAAACAGATAAAACAGTGATAATCTTTTCACCATTTAGTATACAGCCGTTTTAATTTTACAAGGATTAGGGGTAGATTAAAACTAAAGTATAGAATACAGGGATACTCACTGTAGTATTGTAAATGTCCTATTTTCATAATGAAATTTAGGTAGAGTATCACGCTTCTCACAGGCTCGCACCACATCCAAGTCCTTCTTTGAATGTAATGCTAATTGTTCAAATTTATTGGCACTTCCTACATCACCCACAGCCTTGTAATGATCACGTGTTCGCATACACATTTTCATCTGCTCTTTCAAGTCTTCCTGCAATTTTTGAAAAATCTCAATATCTGATCCTGTTAAACTCTCAGCTACAGAAACGATATCAAAACCGGCTTCGATTTCCTCTTTTGCGTTTGGTGGTAGAGGTACTGTGCTCATGTCAATTGGGAGACCACAGTTCGAAGCTTCAATTAGCGGTTGCAATCCTTTGATATTCCGTAAATGTTCTTTGGCAACTTCCAAGTCCCCATTTTTCTTGGCCTCTATTGCCGCTTGTTTGAATTGAGCTTGTCGTTCCAGTAAAATGGCAAGCTGTTTTTCTTGCCGGGAGCCTGGAGCTTTGCGTACGTTCACCTTAGGCATGGGCTCACTTGGACCAGCATCTTCCGAGGAACGTTTGGGAGGCACTGGTGATGGCTGTGGGGATGGCCTTGGACTGGGCGATGGGCTGCGTGAGGGCTCTCTTGGAGCAGGGATTTTGCTGCTGTCACCCTGAGTGTCAGCAGGAGGAGGTGCTCCAGGGATTGGAGGAAAGCCTGTAAATAAAATATAATGTGTTATTTTGAGGAAAAATCAAGTTACTCACAGACAAGAAAATGTTTCATTCCGCCTGATTTCTCTTCGCATTTTTCATGTAACCAAATTAAAAAATTATACAAATGATGTTTTAAAATTTATATAAAATAAAATAATCATCTAAATATCAGGGCTGGCATTAATTTTATAACCCCCCTCCCCCATACCCTACAAAAAAGTATGAATAGCCTCAGGGACTACTGATAGGTCATCATTTAAAATCATTGCTTTCTCATTACCCTTTCCTTTCACAGAAAAAAAAGTTGCTGAAGTGACATCCCAAATGTTAAAAAGCTGCGCGACAACTCTTGAATGTTGATAAGAACGCTACGGTTGTTAATTCAATGTAGCTAGGTTACCACTTTAACAGCCATAGTACCCATAACAACATTCAAAAGGTGTTGCACAGATTTTTAACATCTAGGATGTTACCTTAACAACTTTTTTTTTTTTTTTTCCGTACTCCCTAAGAAATTCTTTATTTCAGAGGTATCCAGAAATCCATGCTTTTTCATTGCCTTTTCCTCCCGTTTTCCTTACTTGACACGCATTCTGAACTCTGACAAGAGCAGATTTTTGCAAAGGTCACAGAAATTTGGTTTTGAAAAAAGAAAATAAGAGTGAATCAACTTAAGCACAATTTAGGTAAGGTTTTGCAGGAACGTGATAGGATTGACAATTTGTAAAAATTTGCATACCTCCATGACCCTTTCACTAAGTTCTTCGCAAAAATCTCTAATTTTTGTGCCAAATCATGAAAAATCAGTGATTTTTCAATGTATCTTTACTTTTCTTGAAGGGAACGTCCTAATAGCTTTATGGTGTGTTTATTTTAGATTGATTCTTAAATACTCGGTGAAAGGCTTGCGGATATACTTTGATTTGTAAGCAAAATATTTTGCAATTTTAAAAAAAAGAGGAGCATAGTAAATTCAAACCTGGCGGAGTAGGAAGTTCATCGTATGGAATGGATCTGCCAGCTTTATGAGCTTTGATGGCATCTTTGTACTGTTTTACAATTCTACCCATTCTCCTGGCTTTGCTTGAATTGTTCTCTTCTTTGGCCTGTTCTTCTGACTTAACGTAAACTGCAAGTCGTTGCTCGAGCGCTTCCAGAGGTGTTGATGGGGCTGATTCAGACACTGGAGCGGGTGTTTCCTCGGTGATAGTGATCTGCGGGGCATCTGAGCTTTTAGCATCTACATCGCTGGATTTTTGGGTCTCGTTAAGCTGAACAGAGGGCTCGGAATTTCCAGTTGAAGCGGAGGAGGCTATGTTCGGAGGATCAGGCATCTCACTGAGATCTATTGGCTGACCATCTTTCGCACCTTGGATTACTAAGTCAAATTGCTGGAAAAAATTACATATTTTCTAGAGACATCTTTAATACATACAATTAAATATGCATTGAACTATATAAAAATTCCATTAAATTATCTCCTATATCTCTACGTCATTAATCGTACATAATATACTAGGGCTGTGCGAATAGTGAATTTTCCGAACGAAGCGAATAGCGAATAATTTCGGCAACTATTCGCGAATAGCGAAGCGAATAACGAATAATTTAAGTCAATTATTCACAGCTACGAATAGTAAAACGAATAATCGGAAATGACTTTTTTAAGTGTGAAAATTCGCGAATACTGCAAAAGTCGACAAAAAAAATGTGACTAATTTTAAAGAATTTTCCATTTGCTCATACGCCTGCACAGAAAACAATGAAATGCTATGATAGTAGCCTAGGCTGTTAAGAATTTGTTCGAAGATCCCTGGATACTGGCTTGACTGTCCCTGCAGTTACGTATGCATTTCCAGGATTTGAAGGTAACTGCGCGGGCAGTCAAGCTAGTATCGAAGGATCACTAGACACATTTTAGTATTTTATTTTTTTCGCTTTAATTAAAAATGTGTTTATGAACTTTTTGTTTCAATTTCAGAAATTTCTGTGTCTTTCAATCCTTGATTTGGGCTCTTTGCTTATTCCTCCAATCGCAATCGCACTCGCTGTTCGTAAACTCGGCAAAGTCGGTAAAGATCAAGGGAGATCCGCCGTTTGCAATGTCTCGGGAGGAAGCAAAAGCCTTGCGCAGGTCCTCGCAACGGATCACGATTGTCACTCGGAAATTCGTTATTTTTGATGGCGCGAATATTTGAAAATTCATTCCTCGTGACGGCGCGAATATTTGAAAATGTCAGTTCAAAAATTCACTATTCGCGATGGCGCAATTATTCGCAATTTGCGAATAGTGCGCGAGACAGACGAAGCGAATATTCGCGGCGCGAATAGTCGGAATTCCGAATATTCGCACAGCCCTATAATATACGGATGACAATGGAAACATTCTACTACAATTACCATCAAGTAGTCTACTGCGTAGTTAATTTCTAAATATTTTCTTAAATTAAATATATGTCACAGGCAAACAGCAAAATCAGGCATTTTCTGAAATACTCGGAAATATAGTTAAATTTTAGTAGTTTATGAAATTGTGTGCGTTTTTAATAAAAAGCTTTCAAGTTTTCGATGTTTCAAAAGAAAAAATTCATCAAAAACACAAACTTTTCTGTAATTTTGCTCTGGAAATATTTTTCTCATATTTAAACTGTCAAAATTTTAAAAATTCTGTATTTTATGATATACTGCAGATATTGCGATAAATGCTTATTTTCAGACTAGAAATATTTAATTTACTAGAAATTAACCTATAAATATCAACTAGTGAAATCTTGGATTGCTAGTGAATTTGTATCTAGGAGGGTAGAATATCAAAGCTTACCTTAACAATTTTTATATAATTTAAGGCGGTTGTATTATCCCCACTGCGTTTCATCATAACAGCTGCTTTTTTGTACGCATTTTGCCTTTCAACCAGGGCTGTTAGTACTTCCGGGTCACAGGATGGTTTTGATTCTTCACCGGTTTTTGTTGGTTCCATTGGAGCAGGCCCCTCCGGTACAGGTTCTGAATCATCAGGTAGAACAGTTTTATGAAAAGTTATTATGTTTTCTTTAGGGGGAAAAATGAAGGTGAGCCGAGGTCAGAATTTTCAAAACGTAACCCAGTATTGTGAATAATCAATTGACGCAAATTAAAAAAATACCGTTTTGGAGCCAACGTCAAATCTAATTTCCATCCTAAATTCAGACTTTGGGAGAGTCTACACACAAACAATTTTAAGTTTCTCAACATGGTTGGAATTATTAGTAACAAGCTAAAGACCTTCAGTTTTTACTATTTCTTTTTCTACCTCTATCCAGCAATGTTTGTAAAGGACAAGTAACGGAGGAAACGGCCACAAACTTCCTTTCATTTTTTTCTTGTGGAGCACATTCCAGAAGGAAGAAATTTAAAAATAGAATTTCTCTTGGTTGAAAGCTCAATTAATATGCCCAGCAGAAAAAATTGGTCACCAAGAACTTTTCAGAGTTTGCCTCTTACGTACTCATCAGACTTTTGGCTTGAGAAAATCAACAAAAAAAGGGTGCATACAGCCAAAGTAGCAAAGGACATGTTGGAAAGTCCTTTTAATTCTTTATACATATGTGATATACTTTGATGGCTACAGTGCAAAACCACGGATCTCCGTTTGTAACATTACAGACTATCAGTCATGTTTTATTTTTCCTTCGAAATACTAGTCCATGCGTTTTTTGAAAAACTTCCCGGATTTTTCTTCTCTGTTAGCAGACATACATATACTGTATGAGTTTTAAGCTATCAAGTTGGCTTGTTTCTCATCGAAGAAGTAAAGTGGGAGCAGAAATTTTGAAACATCGCAATGAAAATACGTGGTTTTGAACTTTGGCCATCGACTCCATTGTCTCCAGAGGATCCAATGGGTTCATACAAAGGATGTCCCAAAATGACCCGGACAGGTGCTGTAACTTAAAAACTAATCAAAGGATTGAGCTGATCATGGGCTTATTCGAAAGATGAAGTCAAAAGGAAGTGATTGCGTTAAAGATTAATTTATTTGGATGAAAATTGACGAAGTTATGACACTTTAAATTCAGGTTGTAAGAAAACACCCTACCATTTTTTTTTAAATAAAAAATTATTTTCAACAAATTCAAAATTCAATCTTCATTTTCGCTTTCCCCTGTGTCATCAAGTATTTCTCTCTCTTTCTCAAAATATTTGCCTTCAAATCAAATACATTTTTCCATCCGCTCCTTCCGTTTTGTCAAGATCGTCTTCTGGAAATCTTCCATGGGGATGCGTTTGAAGAATGCTTGGACTTTGTTCTTGATTGCATCTTTTGATTCAAATTGCTTGCTGCGGAGAGCTTTCTTCAATTGCGGAAACAACCAAAAGTCGCATGGAGCAGGATCAGGGCTGTATGGCAGGTGCCTGAGATCCTCAACTCCATTCTTTCACATAAAATTACTGGTGGCATTCGAATTGTGAGGACGCGCCTTGTCCTGATGGAGCATCTAGGTTGCTCTCAATTGCGGACGTTTTCACGAGACGTACTTGCGAAAATCCGTCACAACTTTGCAATAATAATCACTGTCCACCGTGGTTTTATCGGCTAAAAAATGCTGATAAACCATGCCCTCTAAATCAAATGAAGCAATTAGCATTTGTTGCCAAGTCATTTTCTTTTGGGAAAGATCACCGGAAAAGTTTGATGAGTAAAACGAAAAGAAACAAGTTGAAAAAAACGGTAGGGTGTTTTCTTACAACCTGTTTTTAATTTGTCATAACTTTGACAATTTTCATCCAAATAAAGTGATCTTTAGTGCAATCACTTTCTTTTGACTTAATCTTTCGAATGAGCCCAAGATCACCTCAATCCGTTGATTAGTTTTTGAGTTACAGCACCAGTCTGGGCCATTGTGGGACAACCTTCGTAATTGAGCTATTTCTGTAGGCTCTTTCAGATGTCGACAAGTAATTAAAGCAAGGATGCATAGATACATTATTGATTCAATTCTAAGAGTGGAAACTTAAAATCATTTTATCCTACCATACTAAATAGCAATACCAGAAAAGTTTGACTAACCTTCCATTGGATGAATGGATGGTCGATCAGGAATTGGTGGTGGTGTACTTGGTGAGTATACAGGTGGAGAGGGTTCCGGGTCTGAGGGTTGAGTCTGCACAGGAGCAGGAGGAGGCGCTGGTTTTTGGACATTAACACTAACAGGAGGAGGAATGTCAGCTTCATCAATCGTTCCGCCTCTTTTTATCGTGCTCAACAGTTCGTTCAAAGTCTTGATCCCTCGATTGAACCTACAGTGGTGGAATGTACATAATATCAAGAAAATAGTTCTGTAAGAATTTTCTCCAAAAGGGATTTTCGATCAAACATAGTTCCACAACTCTTAAAAAATTCAAAGATGAAAAATGTACGACGCTACTTGGAACTTCCTAGACTTGACATTGCCTTTAAAATGGAGATTTGAATGTACAATGGGTGCATCTTGTTGTCAGTTACGTAGGCTCTAGAGGTCTTTCACTTTTTATACATTTGAGGACAATTTTTTCGGAACTGCACACTCCATCTTCAGCTTTATTACGACTTCACCTCCATCCAAAATATTTGGATGTACATTTGAAACAATCGAGACGGTTTCAAGTTCAGGAGGTTCAGGATGCTGAAATTTGTGGCCAAAAATTCTCTTGTCGTGGGTCAGTTGCTTTAGTTACAGAATTGCATTTTGATAGTTAAAAATTGTAGATCAGCAAATGATAATAAGATCCGTTCAAACGCCTAGTTTTTACATCCAATATTGACATGGATAATGTCCTTTCAAATACACAATGTATAGAGTCATCTATTACGATAGTGTAAACAACAACTTCTTCCCTCTTGGATTCATCAATTAGTGATATGCAAATTTCCACTGGCTTTTTGACTTAAAACACAAATGCAACCAAGATGGAAGAAACCATGGTATCTACTACCACAATGGAACACTTTTTACACCGTGCTTGTTAAAAGACAACATCTTTCTTAATATTGGACAAGGGAACTGAGTGTTTGAATAGAACTGATTATTTTTTGCTGGTCTGTAACCTAAAATCATCTAAAAACAATTCAGTGACTAGCAAAACTAACCTAATGACCTCGATGCTACCAAGTTTCACAATGGATAATAATGCACCTTCTTTTTCCTGCCACTCCTAGGTTTTAAGATATTTATTCTTGTATTCTGTTCTGTGATGAGATAATTTTTCAGAAATACTTTCAGACTGCATGAAAATCTAACTTCAGAGACTCAAGTTTAAAAATGAAATGCTTTTTCTAGATGCTTCTGTTTGCAATCTGTTTGTCATCCTGTTCAGTAATGTTGCAGATTATTTTTTCCTGATTTTAGTTTGAATGGATCACTAGACAAGGTGCAAACTAAAGCACTCTGTTTGATTTTCCTAATTAAAATTAAAAAAAAAAAAAAACACGATTCGGCAATAAAAATTGCTGCCAAAAAGAAAAAAAACTTTATCCATGCATGAAATCAAACATTCCACTCATGAAAAAAACACTCTTCAGTCCTCAAGTCAAATCGCGCACTAGGTGTTGCTTTAATAGTCTCTGCAGCATTAAAAAATGACAAACTCAATCTTGGAATTTCAGCTCAGCTATTACACATTGTTTAAACTTTGAACAACATAGGGAAGGGAAGGCAGAGCGGCACTGATCAATTACAAACTCAGCCAATACCAGTGCAGTGCTCGATTTGATTCGAGTAGACTGTTGTTTTTCTTGTAAGCAAGCAATTCAAATTTTATGCAGCCAAAATTAACTAAAAACATTAATATCTTATTTTGGGGTCTAAATTGAGCAATTTTTGCTATCCGATTCCAGTTCTGCATAAAATTTTGATTAGGAAACATGTGTCATAATGCTTTTATTTGTTCCTTGTCTGGTAGTCCATTTTGTCAATTCATTTATTACGGATTAACTAGATAATTAACCAGAATAAAGGAGAGACTGAACCACCTACCTTCTAGCTTTCGAAGTATCACCAGCAGATTTGGCATTGCTTTCTGCTTGCACATAAAGTTTTAAACGTTCTGAGAGGATATTTTCTAAGGGGTTAAAGGCTCCTTCAATCGCTGATTTATCTTCTGGTTCAGGTTCAAGTTCTGGACTGCCTCCTTGCAGCTCACCAAGCTCAGCCTAAAATATTGTTGAGATTGAAGAGAATTAATCAAACAAATGCAATGATGATTCATCATTTCTAAATTTGGTATGTCGAAAAATTGATACTTTCTGGTGTGTAAACAGCTATTCATGTATTTTCTTACATTTGTGTGACAAAATAGGGTTTACTTTCTGAAAAGGAGTTACCTGAATTAGTCCTATCCTACTGTGTGGCCAGAATATTGTAATTACACAGATCTGCAAACATTTTTTTAAAAAAACATTGGAGATATAATGATTAAAGGAGGTAATTTTTAGCCCTAAATATGAAAATGACCGGTTTATTTCTTCATCCACAAATTTTCCGGAAAATAAAGTCTTCCAAAAACACATTTAATGTCACCTAAAGAAGGCATTTTTCGGGAAATTCGATTGTCAGATGAATTGGTGGATGGTCCTTGGTAAAATGTTAAGGCCAATTTTAAGCTGCTGAACTTGAGAATGACCTTGACTGGCCTCAATCATGCAGCAATTCTTGACCCATTTGTGGAGGGACCTGCAGACACCCCCACCTCCAGCGCAAAGCACGTTTACATATTTGTTTTGAATCTGAATGAACAAAAAATTATTTTTTTCAGATGCTTCCTGGGACTACTTACTTCCACTTGATTTTTGCTGCTGAAGCTGAAAATGACTTTTTTCTTTTTTTTATTACCCAAGAATCTGTTAAAAAATCGAATTTTCCCCAAAAATGCATTTATTAGGTGCTAAAAAATGTGATAATAAAACACTAGATTTTTCAGAAAATTGGTGGATGATGAAAAAAACTAACGTTACTTCAACAGCAAAAAGTAAAGAGGAGAAACCTTATGGGACATTTAAGTAAATTAAATAATTTTCCTGTTCTTTTAGATGCGAAACAACCAGATGAGTTTTGCATGGGGGTACATGGATGGGCTATGCCATCTGACTGGAGTAACCTTCGGATCAGACACAGTGGAAAAGATGTTTTAGGCATGCGATGTGTAGTACACCAAGGATTTTTAGCCTATTGATAGAAAATGACCTAGTTTGTCTCCATCATGCACCGATGTTCCACCAAGAGGCTTGTTTTTTGAGGAAAATTTGGAGTTTCCTGCAAATTGATGGGTATAGGGGAAAAACCAAGGTCATTCCCGAAAATTGGGTTAAAAATTACATGGTAAAATATCACCAAAAACCCTGTGTTTTTCAAAGTGCACGCCTATGTTAATACTATATAATTACAGTACTTGCAAATTGATATAACTTACAAGAAGTTCAGGATCATTTTCATCGACAGATTCATCATCACCTGAATCTTCATCTCTAAGACTTTCAGCTACCAATTTGTCTAGCTGTTCAGGAGGTAGAGGTGCAGCTAGAGAAAAAATAGAAAAAGAAAACACAAGTTCAATTTTTCCATCTCTGAAGATGTCAGTGTACTGCCTTTCCCAGGCATCATTTACGAAATGCACCTGAAAGTTGGGTTTTGGCGTCTAAAAATTGGGGGCCCTGGGACAGTGTGCTGCCTAAAAGAGTTAATGCACCCAGTCGATTTTTTGAAATTGCAGTTTTATTTGCTATGATGGAAATGCAAAAAGTTAAAAAAACTTTAGATGGCTCCTAAGAACTAGGCTTTGGTGCCAAGGCGGCTTCTAAAATTTCTGGGGGGAAGGCAGAACAATGAAAGATGTAGAGTCTCAAGAGGTGCAAAAAAGTCAGTGCAAACATGTGACAACTGTCCATTCTTTTCTTTCTCCAGTTCAAACATGTTAATGTTGAAAACAATTACCTCTTTCAGCATCAGTCACTTCATACGATACAACTTCTTTACCTACAATTGTTAGCACTTAAACCTAGGTTCCAGAAGAAGATACCATTTCCTGGCACTTCCAAACTTCTAAAAAAAATTTCTTAAGAGGCAAGTCACCTCTGTGTGGCCGAGCAGGAGGCTTTGGTTTGCTTCCTCCAGTTAGTGCGAGAAGTTCTGCCTCTAGTGCTTCGTCATCATCGTCATCATCTCCAACACATCCTCCGTCTGAGTTGAGATTATCGATGTCAGGAATATCGAATAAGCCATACTGTTGAAGGAGGTGAAGAAAAGATCTTAATGAGACAAATCTGTGAAAAATCTTAAATTATATCATAGGACAAGAAGACCCTTTACAATTTTACGAACCAAGAAACTCACTTTATATTTGTTTGTTAAATTAAGGAGATTTTTAAATAAATAAATCTTGTAATATAACAAAATGGAATAGACTAGAATAGAAATACTTAGTTTAGTTACCAGAATAGTTTACAGAGTAGCTTGTTACCTAAAATTACAGATGGTGTAAATAAAAACTTTTTTCTTCATTTTTGGTCTTTATTTTCTTAGATTGGAGAGGGAATATAGAGGAACTAGTTGTAAGAAAAAGGGCTGGATAATTATATCTTTCAATTACTTTTTTTACCTGACAAGCCGACTACAACATTTTCGGTGCAAAATACGATTTTGAAAAAAAGACAGAGATTGCTAATGAAGGATTCAACATTATTACATACATTTGAAAATCACCTTGGGCACTGAACTCAGATTCCAGTACTTGATTAAATTTCAAATCCATTGATGAAGTATTAATATCTTTCAATAGTTTGAGGAATTCACAATCAAAACTGTAATTGGATGGCTTGAAGGACACGGCACATTGGTGTAGGATTTGAAAAACATGAGATATTAATGATTTCAAGTAAAACTGTTCTTCGTGCATTTTCTGTGAAACATTCGCTCCTAAATTCCAATTTTGAAGCATCAAAAAGTCATTTTGAACTTTCTATCCGCCATACACATTCATGTAATTTCAAAATTTCAAACACGTATTAATCAAAGTAGCAAAAGTTGCACTTACGCACTTTGTCCTCCAAGCCTCTCAATTATAGTGATGTCACATGTCTAGAGCTCGCGCAAGGTATGTTGAGATAAACGTTACTCTCCGATTAGCTCTGAATTCGCATCACTCAACAGGTTAATACATGTAGTTGTAGTCAGGTGGCACCACTGGTGAATGGTGATAATATTTTGACGTTTGTCTCAACATACGATGCACGAGCTCTACCAACCTTAACTCGCAGTAACCGTCTGTTTTTTATCTAGGATTTTCATCAAGGCTCGGCACACAACCTACAGAGAGAGCACTGCAACACTTTGCCCAGATAGAGAGAATATTAATGCTTAGAATACTAATTTAGATTTTCCCTTAAAGTTGCTCTCACAATTACTGACTTGGGAAAACTAAGAATATGACTCACTCGTAATTACGTTTACAAGTGCAAATGTGGCTGTCCTTGTCTGCCTCTTCCTCGATTTAAGATGGACCCAATATGATCAAATATCCTTATGCATGCTATGAAGTTACGGGAAAATTAAACTTTTTGTAGAAGAGAAATGCTTATCTTCTCAACTAATAAAAATGGTGAGTAAAAAATAAAAAATGAATGTGAACAGGATCACCTGAGCAAGGCTGGAGCCCCTTGACTTGGACTGCTTCGCTTTCACTTCTTTTTTGCGGCCGAACATTTTGACAATAAAATTTCTGTAGGCTAGAACAACAAATTTTAAACTCTAATTAAAAAAATGAGCAAACGTTACTGAAAAAATTGTGAAAATTTTTTGAACATTTCCATTTCCTCTTCAAATAACAAAACAACATTGATTATTAGTCACCGATGGTTGGTGATAACGGTCACGCACAAGTGCTGCTCCATTTTCAGCTACGGATAATATTGTAACTTCTCCTCACAACACAGCCACAGCTTATCATTTCACCTCGGATGGTGTTGGTGTCGCTAAATTTTGCCCTCTACAATTAGTTTCTTACTTCTTTAACTTAAAAATTAGTGTGTAGTGAACCGGATTCAAAATGGGTAATACATACAACTTGATGTTTCATCCAGATGTCACTCCTTACCCAGATTCTCAGCCGACATTCGATCCAACTTTCGGTTTCAAGGAACCTAGACAACCTAAAGGTGAGTTAATTGCACTGAAATAGTGGAACATTCCTCACATCATCACTTCAAATGAGAATCGAAGGCTTAAGATAGAGTTTAGCCNCTGCTCCATTTTCAGCTACGGATAATATTGTAACTTCTCCTCACAACACAGCTTATCATTTCACCTCGGATGGTGTTGGTGTCGCTAAATTTTGCCCTCTACAATTAGTTTCTCACTTCTTTAACTTAAAAATTAGTGTGTAGTGAACCGGATTCAAAATGGGTAATACATACAACTTGATGTTTCATCCAGATGTCACTCCTTACCCAGATTCTCAGCCGACATTCGATCCAACTTTCGGTTTCAAGGAACCTAGACAACCTAAAGGTGAGTTAATTGCACTGAAATAGTGGAACATTCCTCACATCATCACTTCAAATGAGAATCGAAGGCTTAAGATAGAGTTTAGCCATTTTCAAGTGATTTACAAGGATTGACCAAGTTTCGGACGATAGGCATCAAGTAACTTTTCACTTGTAACAGGAATCTTATTAGGATGATTTGGGTTGAGTCAATACTCTTAGTTGAGCATATCATTATGAGGTATCCCTGCTTAGCGTCCCTAAATTTTGTTTGCGAGGAGCAGGTACATTCTGATTCAAAATTATACACCCTCTCTGATTCACTCACCAATCCATGAATGAGTGAATGACCCTTAACCTGTGAAGAGAGGTTAGAGCATTGCCTCCGAGACTGGAGAGGCCGTAACTACGTTCCTGTGATGTCATGCTAGTAGATGAAACTCGCCCGCGGTTTAACAAATGTTCATATGGGGAAACACCTGACACATGTTCTTATAGCCGATATCTTCTTGGGGGTTGATCTGATGCAAAAATTCTCAAGAACCTTTTCAAAAGAGGATGAAATTTCATTTCAGAAAATTAACTAATCCATTTATGACATTGTCTGATAATAGAGGAAATGAAAGCTCAATATCAATAACCGTTACTCCACTGAGATTCAAACGCGGTGCTCGTGCAACTTCAGCTGATCGAGGGTCACTCTGCTTAGTCCTTGCAGTGACTGCCTTACTAATCTAGGCATTGATGACCCGGAGATGCTTGTTGTTTTTGGTAAATATGTACTAGTTTGATGTCACAAAACTGACTAGTTACGGCCACTTTATTCCCATAGGCAACGGTTAGAGCTATGACTAAATTAGGTGACTGTTTCACATAGGACCATAACATAATTTAAGATCTACTACCATGCTTTTAGCACGCAGTATTTTTCTCAAAAGCATTCACAGGTGATCATCTTTTGCTTTTTGAAGTGAGGCCAGCTAATTTAATGTCAGGTCCAAGGGAACCCTTGTGAGGAGATTAAGGTGATTCGTCAAGCACAAGTGCCATGGCCGAACTGGCATATGATATATCGCATCGAGTAGATCAAAAATCTTGGAAGATTTTGAATTTTTAGAAAAAAAAGGACAATAGCCCCTGCGCACAAGCCTAAAGAATCATTCTCAATCCAAAAACTGGCAAAATTCAGCGAAATGAAAGCAGACTAGTGTTAAGAAGAAAACCTTGCATTCGATACAGCAATCGAGTGCGAGGTTTTTTCCCAACATTCTTCTGCTTTTATTTTTCTGAATTTTGTCAATTTTTCTATTGAGAATGATTTCTTACAGTGCATCCAGGATTGGAACTTCGCGATTTGGCCACCTTGTCGCGCTGCTCAGAATAGCCGTATATATTTGCCAAAATAATAAAAACCGTAATACTTATTCAAGATTGGGGATCCAGGGGATATAGCAACATACTTGAGGAACACTCAGTAAAAAAATATTCTCAAAATTCCCAAAAATAAAGTTGTAACTACGGTGGAAAGTAATTCTCATTGTGGCAATGGGAGAGAGAGAGACAGAACATGAGGGATTCGGTTATCTTGTGGATCTGCTTTTTGTAATTTGAGGAATATTATTTTAGTAATCGTTGAAGGAAAGTGAAATTCTCAGTGGTGACTGGTGGGGTGGCGCTATCTCTAATCATGAATTATCCCTAATTGAACCCTGGATTCACCTTAAGTTCATGCGCAGAGGCTATTGACCTTTTTTTTGCTAAAAATTCAAAATCTGCTGAGATTTTTTATCTACTTGATGCGATATATCGCATGCCAGTTTGACCAAGTCACTTGAGCTTGTCGAAACACCTTAGGACGAAAATTCAACTGGGAATGAAGCCCCCTTGATTGGAAAGATGTCTAATGTTCATAGGCGAACCCAATAATCTCATTTTTCATCTTTCAACGATTTCATGGTGGCCGAACCTGACCTGTCTGGCGAAAATGTTGTGACAACATCCGGTTCCAAAATAACATTATTGCGACATTCTGACAATGTTTTTGGGGTTAAAACAGAAAAAAAAGAAAGAGAAACTTTCCATGCCTTGCGACACGATTATTGAATCTCTGTCAGTAGGACAAGACAAGACCTAGCCCTATGTTAACCGTGCAATTTATCGCATTGCGATGTCTTATTGTGCTGCCTTAAACTTTCAGTATTTGGCCCGCTGAAGTGAACTAATTACTTTTGTCCAACATGTTGATATATTTAGCAGAGGGAAAGTAAAGTAACTTGGCAAACTTAGGTTCGGTTGTAATCTTATACTTTTTCCTTCTTCTTTTTTAGTTATGCATACCACTCTAGCAGAAATGGAATCTGCGAAGGTTCCCCCGGACTTTAGGAATTACTGTGCGCATACGTACATCGATTTTCAAGCATGCAGATCCAAAAATTTTCCTCTCTTGCGGAGATGCGCAGACCAATATCATGCGTATCAACAGTGCCTTTATGATGAGTGAGTATTGGTCTTATAACTTTCTACCAAAAAATCTCAACCTGCAAGCAGTTGCATAGCGTACCTATTTGTGACATATTTTTGCTGAAGGGGGTCATTGAGTAAAGTATGGTGTAATTTTAAAAGTATGGGGAGAACGGTCGTTCAGGTCTGAATGACAGGTGCGTGCTGAGAGGAGGGGGGTCCAAAATTGTGGATTCTAGTGTTATGTAATTTATGAAGGGTGTGAGTGGCCGTCTGTAGATTATGTTATGCTGATTGATGGGGATTGTTGTGCTAAAGCAGCATTATGTTGTCCGTGTATATTTTTGGGAGTTTTTTTGGGTATTTTGGGCTGAGGTAAAGAGAGCAAACCCTCTCACAGAAAAACCCCATCACAAGGGTGGGGGTTAGGAAATCTGAAAGGCTTTACGTATTATATAAATGGCCCTGTGACAGAGGAATTTGCCTTGAAGAGCATGAAGAAACCTTTGCTGAGAATGTCTTCCTTTCGGTAACTGTATGGTAACCTTATCATGCCCGAGTTTTCCCTTTCCACTCAGGGAAAAATCATGGATAACTCAATGAATTTGAAACTTGTGAAAGATCATAAACCCTGCCTTTGTGCCCAACTCTATCAATCTACAACAGAAGACATAAAAATTGCATGGAATTCTCCATTTTAGATACCTACTCTAATTCATGCTTTGTTGGATTTATGTGAAAGCTCTAAATTATTTATTCTGTATTTTTTAGAACCATTGACCAATACAAAGATTATGAACGAGAACGTCGCCTCTTAGTACGAGCCAAACGAATTGCTGAGAAGAAAGAGAGACGAGAGAGAAGACGTAAGGCAGCTGAAATGGAGAGCGATTGAATATATTTCTCTTGCATACTAGTTTTGAATCAACTATAGTTTGTGTAAGTTTTTTTTACCAACTTTCTTACAGCAGGGCACCTCAAATATGGTAGGATCGGCTATGGGGACCTCAGTCACAGCGTTTGGGTCCAGAAAAGGCCTTACAGGCAACTCTTAACTTTTCTCATCATGCAGTGTCAAATTTTGAGGGAAAATAGGAATAATTTTGCTGGAAAAGGAAGGTAACTCAGAGCCGAGGTTGGCTGTAATTCTCCTGCTCCTCTACACCATTGAAATACACGCCTCCTATCATGAGATCAAAATAAATCTCACCCCATGTGAAAATATCCATGCCTTTGCATTTGTAGAAATCAAAAACAGTTAATATTAGTTCTCTCAATTGGACTCCTTTCTGTAATTAGGGCAAGATCCATCCATATAGGTCAGTCATTCCCGAAACCGAAATGAGAATCTTCTGCACATGACGTCAGCATTACTGCCGCGAAAACAAGAAAAGTCGGAAACAATGCTTTTCTTATGGGAGGGAGCAAATTTTTCTCAATGAATCATTTAAATTTCTCACTTTTAAATCGCTTGAAACTCTCTGAGTGTCGAAAGGAATGCTTAGACATTAGTGTCCAGGGTTTCAACTCAGCCAGCTGAATTTGCGTTTTTATATTTTCAAATGATTTTAGTAGTCAGCGATGTAACAAGCCATCTGGTGGTATAGATTTGCGTGTAAAAATGGCTGATGCAGAGTAAACTGTAAAAATGAAAGAACACAAATTCGGCAAAATCAAAACCCTGAATGCTAATGTCTAAACATTCCTTTCGACACTCAGAAAGTTTCCAAGGATTTAAAAGTAAGAAATTTAAATGATTCATTATGAAAAAATTGCTCTCTCCCATAAGAAAAGCATTGTATCCGTGCTTTTTCGCTTTCGCGGCAGTAATGCTGATGTCACGAGCCAACTGAACCAATAGATGGGGCTTACCCTGAGCAGGGGAAATCTGCACAATTACTGACCTATATGGATAGATCTTGAATTAGGGACTATAATTTGTGGCTCAATTGAAAAACTATGTATGTGCTATTATTTTTCCTATGCACGTAAGTGTTTACAGATTGTTTTACAGAAGTTTTACGGATGAGCCAGAAGTAGTAGTTCTCAGTTGCAAAATTTTTGTCCAGCAATCTGTACCTGCTGTACTATGTCCATTAAATAATATTAATTTCATTGATTGGGTGCAGTAATTCA